TTAATTATCCAGCGTTCAATGATTTTACCCATTGGCTACCATTTTATTTCTTGAAATTTTGTCTTATTGATATACGTTTGTTTATTGTGCATAATGTTAACACATTTTAATGAACTTATAGTTCAGTTCCAACTTAATTCAATAGACAATTTCATATATAATGTATTTTTTAATTTCTTATACTAGGATTTTTTTTCGTGAATGTCAGTTTTCATTAATTTATTTTCTTATGAACGTAGTCTTGTGAAACACCGCCGTACTTTTACACAACATATATCATTACCAATATGCATACATTTATAGAAGGAACCAAAGAAAGAAACATTTTACCTATAAATCTCTGCTATATTTTCAAATATTTGAACCTTCTTCATGAATAATATAGAAATGTCTTCATAAAATACTCATTATATCAGTTAAATATTCCTTACTAATACCCATTTAATGAGGAATAATTCCTTTCCAATACAAAATTGGACCCAAATAACTGTTCCATTTTCTTATAATTGTACGTGTAAGTTGTGGAGCAATTCATAATGACAGCGATGAAGCTGTACACTCCAACGTTAATTTCCCCCTCACCCCTGCTAACTGTGATTGGACTTGATCCAAAAAGAAGGAGAAACATTCTCTCCTTGTATGACTCACTTCTCGCGTTATGCAATGGACAGCAAACGACGTTTGTAATCATCTCTACATATTTTTTATTCTTCTAATACCTAATAAATTTGTTATTTTGTGTTTGCTAATATAATGATCGTGTTCCTTACCTCCGCAGCTTGGATTACACTTTATTAAGGTAAGAACTTTAATTTTGTTTTATTCATCTGCTCGTCTCGATTTAGCGAATTTGTAACAGTAAACAAAAATGAACCACGAATACCTTCAACATAAGTTTGTATTGTGGAACTTTCTAGGCATTTTTTAGAAGAGTAATTTAATTAATGTTGCTGAAAATTACTTTTTTCTAAGAGAAAAGCTCCAAAGGTTATCTAAATCATTCAACTTTTCCTGCAGTATTTCCTCGGTACGGAATACCTATCTTAGAACTATTTTCTTAACATATTAGTAAGAGCTAAATATGAAACAAACATTTTCCACTGTAGAATATTTACTGTTTTACCCAAATGAGGATAGTACCTTTACTGGATTTAAGTTAGTTACCCAGAATTCCCTACAAGTTTTAGAAAATTAGCTATACAAAGAATTTACCTAAAAATGAGTCTTGACAGATTCTTACTGGAATCAGATTTACTATCAGTGGGAAAAACCTAAAGATCACTTTATCTACCCTCGTCAGTATACACTCAAAAGTCATGAAACATTTTGTTGTACAGTTAGCATTTTAGATATGTTTAATACTCATTCAACTAATTTTAATTAACTTTCAATCAAGATTTTTAGAAGATAAGCATATTTATGCTACATATTATTAGATTAATTCCAAGCGTTACTGAGGAAAAATGCAAATAAATATCCAAGACCCATGTACACATTAAGAAAATTCCACTCATTAGGAACAGTAAAACTTTACCAATACTTAAATGAAATGTAAAATCTTGTAATACGTTAGTATAAAACCTGAGTAACAAATTATTTCCTACAAGCAGTACACGGTAAAAAAGCATATTATAAATAACTTATCAAGACTAAGATGTTGATTTAAACATAGTAGGAAACAGTCGACAGCAAAATAAGGATACATTTCAATATAAATATAGCATTTTTTTTATTAAAATACATACTTAAATAATTCTTTTCTCACAAATTTTCTATTTCACGTAAAGATGACACTGAAATATTCTTTAAACACTTAACTGCTGCAGGAAACATGCAAGATTCAACCCTCTGTGCCACTGATTTTACACAGGCTCGTGCAGTCATGCGATGTACTAGGGTAAAGTAAGTGCAAATTTTGCTCTCTAAAAACTGTTTACTTTCACAAAATGAAGAATAAAAGAACAAAAATGAAAGTACAAAGTTTAATGTTTAGAGTAAAAATATACTGAAAAAGATGTATAGTAAAAAAGATAATAAAAAGGTCCCAAAAAATGAAGTTTCGATCAATTTTTTTTTTTTTTTTTTTTTAGGCCAGTAAAGTGTAATATCAGGTTTCAGTGTTATACCTTGTAAAATCAGTATACCTAAAAAACCATGCATTTCTTCTGAATTTGTTGGATGCCACGATTTTGTTCTTAAATTTTCTTTTGCAGAATGTTGGTTCATCTACTGCTTTGCAAAACGATTACTTTCAGTAACAATATGAAGCACGAGCAATTCATAAAAAAATAATTCAAAAAAGAGGGTTTGAAACATCCATTATATCTTTTTGTATTCCTGGAACCTACTGCAAACAGCAAGCAAAAAAGGAAGACACAGAATAAAAAAAGTTTTACTCAAACAGAAACACGAGCTATAACTGCACAGTCATTACTTTCACAGTTTCAGAAACATCGCCCTCTTCTCTGAAATACAGGGTGGGGCAGAGCAGTTTGCTTATTTTGAAATTCAATAATATATATATATTTAATTCTTTGAACAGCATCCAGTACAACATGTAAAGTTTATATTTATACTGTTTTAAAGATAATACCAGGCAGATGGCGTCCATTAACGTCAACACACTGTTTTAATTGAAGTTTCGTTCAACTCTTTCCAGCACATTGATGGTTATGTTGGCAATAGCTTGACAAATGTTGCATTTCAAGTAAGCCAGTATTTTAGGACGATTGTTGTAAACAAGTGATTTTAGATAGCCCCATAGAAATTACTCACATGGGGCTAAACCAGGCGATAGTGCTGGCCAGTGCAAATCATCTCTCAAAGAGATGAGAAGTCATGGAAAGTGTTGCTGCAAAACAGTCGTTGACAGATAAGCTGTGTGTGCCATGGCACTATCCAGCTGGAACCATACATCTCTCACATTCACCTCGAGTTTTGGTTAGAAGTCCTCAATCTTGGGGACATAACAACCAGAAGTCACTGAAATAGCCGTTCGTTTTCTTTAAAAACCATGGTCCAATTATTCCAACTCTTGATATTGCACACCAGTTACAAGATATCGGTTAAAGAAAAATCGGTTATATCTTTCTTTATTCTTGGCTGTCCCAAAAATGGAAAGTGTGGAGGTGGCATAGAATAAAAAAGTATACGATTTATACAAACAGAAACATGAGAGTAATAACCATGCAGTCATTAGTCATCACTGTCAGACATATTTGTAAACACCTACTACAAACAGTAAGCGAAAATGGAAGACTCAGAATAAAAAATGTGTTTTACTCAAACAGAAACACCAATAACCATGTAGTCCTTACTTCCACCATTTCAGAAACATCCCCCTCTCCAATTCCTCCCCCCTCTTCTCTGAAATAGTATCCTCTTTCACATACTCTGTTTTTTTTATGGTGTTGCATTCCAAAGCTCTGCGAATAATTTTACTGCTTGCAGAGCAAAACAAATGATAGTATTGTGGAAGGGTATATATATATATGCCCTGGGCAGTTAACACATCAGCTGAGAAAGACGTATATATATGCCCGCTGCTGTTAAGGGGTTAAAAAGTCTTTGTTGTCATAAGTACAACAGCAGGTGTACATAAAGTTTTTTAGCAAGTCTTTTAAAGTTCATTGACAATATTGCTTTGTTAGTATTATTCATAACTCCCCCCAGTCATTTTCATTATACAAGGGTGGCGGCGCTGACTTGGATGATCGACTGCACATCCCCCCCAGTCGTTTTCATTATACAAGGGTGGCGGTGCTGACTTGGATGATCGACTGCACATCCCTCACAGATAAATACCTCATTGAGACTGGTTAAGTACTCCTCATAAATAACATTGTTAACTTTCTGCATACATTGCTTGATAGTTAAATGTTCCAGCTGCTGGCATTTTGATCGCCGTTTTCTTATCTCTGGTACATTTTCAAAAAGGGCAGTTTGGATTGTATGTGTTATTTCACTGTATAAATCTAAAAGTTTATCGGTCTGATATGACTCGAATTCAAAACAATCTACTAAGAGACGGAAACCACTGCAGGAGCTTTTAAAAATTTGCTGAAAAACACATACCGTGTTTGCACAAAATACCGCCAACTGATTATTGGCTATGAAGGATGCTTCCGAATACTTGAAATTATGTTATAAGAAATGTTTAATAAAACAAAGAACTAAATATTGACCTTATTTAGGTAAATTTTTAAATCCCTGAAAATCATAAATGTTCATTATTTCATATTTAAAATTTTATAATTTCTATATGTCATGTTACTAGATTTAAAAGGATGATCTAAAATCCGAAATCCTGACGACAGCCCACCAGCGGCCAAGCGGTAAAGTCGCTGAACACTGGTAGTTCGGTCCGAGGTTCAAATCCAGCGAATGGGCTGGCTGCATGGGCGTTTTCGTGGTTTTCCCCATGTGTAACGTGTATACGAGCCAGTTTCCCTTAGAAAGTCCTCCACGAAGGCATCCCTCCCCTTAGGCAGATAGCCCTCGAGGGTTTGCCATAATCACACACACACCGAAATCCTGACGAGTCCATATCTTGAACTTTGTGCTGTATTCATGCGAGTTTGTTATTACTAAAAATGTATTGATCTAAAAGAAAAATATTGTACATTTTTTGCAAAAATTTTTCATTGCTATAATATAATATGCATATTTTTATGATTATATTTACAGCAATTAATTAAAAATAAAAACAGATAAATATCTAACATCTGTCTTTTGTTTTCAGTAAACGTTTTATTGTCATATAAACAATTAACTAATATAAATGTTATGAATTCATTGAAGCATGAGCTTTGTTTCATTATAATGCATTTAATTACATTTTTTATTATAACGACAAGCCAATATCAATTAAATTTACTTTCTTATATGTATTTTCTAAATAACTTCTTATGTTACAAAATATATCTTATAATGCTAAGCACAACAAGCAATTTGTACGTAATATGCCAAATTCATCCTATTTCTTATTTCTTGTAATACAGAACTCATGGAGGTGTACACAAGCATGATGATGAGGTCACAGTAACAGCTCCTCCTAGTATGTGGATAAAAGCACTTGATTTGATTCTGGATCTACTAAGACTTCAGGATTTAGACTTTTCCACTGTTGTAGCTATATCAGGTGCTGCACAGGTAGTAATTTTTGTGATTATCCTCTGTTTAAAATATCTTTTGTTATCTGTTTATTAACAAACATCTTTCTTTGCATTCCACAAGTTGGTTGTAGTACAAGATTGTCTTCTAATCAGACAAGTTCAGTTCAACATTTAATATATGTTCAATTTTGCATACACGACATTTCTCACTCCCAAATAGAACATATAGAATATCTTCCCTCATCACACAATTTCAATCAAAAACGCACATAAACAACCCCCTTAATCATGCCTTTGGAAGTTAGCAGTTATGTCAAGAAGAGGAAAAATTGCAGCAGCCCAGGATTGGACAGAATTAGTAACAAAATGATCAAGGAAATGGGTTCTAAAATGCTATGCAAATTCACCAAGATAACCAACGCTATGTTCAGACTGCAGTATTTCCCAGCCAATTGGAAAACAGCTATCATCTTAGCTGTTCTGAAGCCGGGTAAAGATCCAACCCTTGCAACATTGTACAGACTGATAAGTTTTTGATCAACTTTAAGCAAAATTACAGAAGCCGTTATCCTGAAATGCATCCAAGACTTCATCAACGAAAATAACATCATGATTCCGCAGCAATATGGATTCTGCCGAAAGCACTCAACTATGCGTCAACTTTATCAGGTCACAGAACTGATTGCAGATGGACTTAAGAAAAAACTCATCATTGGACCCTTTTTTTGAGAGCATTTGATTATGTATGGTTACAGGCACTCACCTACAAGTTAATCACTCTGGGTTTCCCAGATCACATCATAAACCTCATAAATTCCTCTCTTTACAATAGATACTTAGGTGTTCATTATAACAATATTCATGCCACATGCTGAGAATTCCTTGCTGGTTTACCACAAGGATTTTTACTCTTTCCGACCCTTTTTTCACTTTATACGAACAACATTCCACACAACACCCTCATTACACTAGCATTATATGCAGATGATACTGTGATCCTCCATTCAAACGTGTGTATGGTCGCAGTCGTACATGCATTACAAGAACACGTCCAAGCACTAAGTTCTGGATGATGAAATGGAAAATTAAGACCAATGTGGAAAAATCTGAAGCTGCATTTTTTACCAACGAAAGAAAAATGTATTTAAATATTACTTTCAGTATGTACAACAATAGTATTCCCTGGGCCAAGGAGGTGAAATACCTTGGTGTCATTTTAGGCCAAAGACTCACAAAGACACATTACATATATTTTAAATAAGTTTTGGGGTATTATTCAACTCCGATTTCCCATAACTCTTCTGTGTATAGATAATAAGGTACTCGCGTATAAGTCCATGTTGCGGTTCATCATTACCTTAGCCTGTCATGTCTGGGATTTTGTATGCGGTTCAAAGATGAAAAAAATCCAGCAAATTCAAAATGTTACACTAAGACAAATGACTAATTGCCAGTGGTATATCAGGAAGGAGGCAATTCACAATGAATTGGATGTAAATAAAATCAATAACTGTATCACAAAAGTTGCAAAGAAATTTTTCAAGAATATATGCAAAGTAAATATTTCAATCCCATTTATGAATTATAATTATTCTTATCAAAACAATAAAAAATGATTAGGTGTAATCTTTTGCATTTAAACTAATTCAGTTAATCTTTCTTTTCTACTCAATATTAAATTTTCTAATTTCCGCCATGTATTTCACTCCATGTTCCTTTTTCTTACATGAAAATTAAGTATTCTACCTAAGTCCCCTATACCACCCAATGCCTGACTTGTTTGAAAATGCACTCTCTTTTCAGCTATGCCATTGGCTCTTCGACGAATAAACCAGTTAACTCCACCTCTCCGCCCAGCCTCCCCGGTCTTCAGCCTTCTCACACTCATTCAGGACTCTGCTTTTGAGATGAATGCTTGCTTATTATAAGACTCACATCTGGCCATGAACAGTAGTTAACTCATTGCCATTACATCGACTTGTTTTTTGTAGAGAACTTCATATATGAAGACTCGTAATACGCATCTCACGATAATTAGTTTATTGCTAGTTCTCACTTTGAATTAATGCCATGTTATGCTAGCGAAAAGTTATGCTATTGCTATTGATAACACTTAGGATGCGGCTATCACCCAGAAGCCTGGTTTTAGTGACTTCTGCACCTAAGTCTTCAGGCATTAATACTGTTGCGTGCGTACGGGTTCGTTATGAAATGAATGCACAAGTCTGATGAAAAATGAACAAAAAAAAATTTATTATTATCACAACAAAAAAAATGCTTAAATTTTCTCAAATTATCATGCAGTATTACAATATCTCACAGTAGTTATCTTTTAACTACTCAAATGTCCAATAGAACGCAATTAAAAACAGCTAAAGAACGCTAATCCGCGAATTCGCTACAATCAACAAGAGCAGTTTTCTAAACAACAACAAACTAAGCAACTCCTACAAACTGAGATGTTTTCCTCCTTTTATAAGATTTTAAAATCACACGCTAAAATTTTCCAGTACTTTCTCGAAATCAAAAAGAGATATTTATTTATTTAATGCACGCGCTCTTGTAATTTCAATTTTACGGCTTAGCTTTCTTTTAATATTCGTCACGCGCTGCACTGCGCGAGAAATAAAATCATTTAATTTGTAATTGAACTAACATTAGCTTTTTAAATACCAAATTCGTAACACTGCCCCCTTCCCAAGGACTGCATGTCCCGGGCAGTACAATCCCTGGACAGGAAGCTAAACTTACAACTGTGGCATAAATGCAATTAATAAGCATTACATTACAATAATAAACAACATGAACAATAAATGCAATACATAAACAAATCAAATACAACATTTAAAACAAAAATGGAACCATGGTCTTATACTATTTACAATTATTTACATTATGTACTATGGCCATAGTAATGAGCTAACCTGTCGTAATGAAGTTCGAAGAGTTCGACGACTTCACGATCCGAACCATGACGTCATTTAGCCTGTTTAGGATTGTGTGCGACCATCCCAAGGTGACTGTAATTTCAGGCCTGACTCCTTTTCGTCGAATCGGGTTCCACAACCACACCTTGTCTCCTTCGTTGGATCTATGTCCAGTAGCTCTCGTGTTGTATCTGGTCTTCACTTTCTTCTCCGTCGCCAAGTTCACTCGCTTTCGTGCGGAACGTTGTGCATCACTTCAAAACGGGCCTTGACATCTTGGATGTGTTCCTCAGGCGATGAAGGCGCATCCGTACGGCGATGAAACAGGCGGTCACAAGGCAGACGAAGGTCTCGACCGAAGAGCATCTGAGATGGAGAATAGCCTGGTAGTCTGGTGTTTCTTTTCGACCCTAGTATGATTTCGGCAGCTTTCTCGAGCTAGGGTTCTTTCGGACAAGGAGCGTCGGCATTTCCAGGTGAGGATCCCTTCTTAGGATGGATAGTCATGTCCTTTAGATGCTGAAAGCAGTTTGTTGTTTTTCAAGTCTAAGGAAAAATTGTATTTCCTTAAAAAGTCCAATCCGAGTATGCATGGATCTGTAATATCCTGCCACATATGCCGTGTGATGGTAGGCGGCACTTCCAAAAACGTGATGTTCACGTTTAACTTCCCAGTTATGTCGATCTTGTCACCAGACGCAGTCTGAAGGGTAACACAGGATGGCGTCCAAATAAGTTTATCTTTAAATTGTTCAGCTAAATCTTTCCTAATGATGGTAACATTAGCTCCTGTGTCAATGATCATACTGCAAGGAACTCCATCGATATTCCCATTGATGGACAGTCCGTTATTGTTGCCACTCACTGTATAAATTTTAAGAGCTTTAAAACAAGGTTTTTCACTATCTGGCAACCTCCGTTCCTCGATATGGTTACTAATTTGTTTACTGCGTTGTTGCTGGGAAATGGTCTTATTTTCCGTACCTCGGGGTGTTCTGCAGTTTCTTCGTATGTGGCCTTCAACTCCGCAGTTCCAGCACTTTAGAATTAGTTTTCTTTCACTTCTGTTCCGTCTCAAGCCACTGGCTTGTCTGGTAAAATCATCTGCTTTATATTCCGTACCCTGGGGTGTTCTGCAATTCCGTCTTAGGTGACCTTCACTACCACATCTCCAACACCTTAGAGCCACTTTCTTCTCGCTCCTACTCCGTATCAAATCTTCGACTTGTCTGGCTAAATCATCTAAACGAGCCATCAGTTGATCCACTGGCTCATGGACTCGCACAGCTCTAACTGGGTAGCGATCTCTACTAGTTGCTTGCTGGGCTGCCTCGAACTTCATGGCGTACAACAGAGCGCTTTTTCAATGTCCTTTAACATCCTGCCATTCGAAGAGCTTTCTGTATTTCAGTATCTCGGATGCCGTCGATAAAGTATTGTAAGGACAGGATTTCCCTTGTTTCTGTCGGGCATTCCGAAAAGGCGAGATGGGACAGCCTTTCAACATCCACGACGAGCTCCTGAAGTGTTTCGGTAGGCTGCTGTTGACGAGATTTTAATTGGAGCCTGCTGTAGTCTTTTAAACATTTCTCGCCGAAGCGCAGCTCCAAAGCGCCGGATAGAGCTTCGAAATCTAACCTTTTGTTTTCGGGAAGAGTCTGAAGGATATCCGCTGCGTCGGCTCTTAGAGAAGCGGCGAGATGACAGGCCTTAGCTTGGGAATCCCATCCATTCGCATCCGCCACGATAGAAAATTGTGTCTTATACACCTGCCAGGAGGTCTTCCCATCATACGTGGATAGCTTCAGAGGTGGACGAGCAGGCATTGGTAAGAATTTAAAATCATCACTCCTGCTCCCTGCCGACGTTACGAATTTCTTTAAAGTATCCATTTCTTTGGCAACTGCAGAAACTCTCTCATCAATTTGTTGTTCGATTTGGTGTTGGACGGCACAAACTCTTCCTTCAATTCGTTCCTCCACAGCAGAAACTCTCCCTTCTATATGTTCTTTTACAGAAGAAACTCTTTCTTCTATTTCTTCTTTCACCGAAGAAACTCTTTCTTCAATATGATCTTTTACGTAAGAAACTTTTTCTTCAATATGGCCAACTTTATTTTCAACTGCGTCAATTCTGCCTTCCATAGCTTCAAATTTATTTTCTATTATGCAAGTAATTTCTCTTTTCATTTCTTCTTGACCAGCTTGAACGGCTTTCATTTCGTCCTTAACAGATTCCTGGCCCAATTTCATTTCTTCCTTAACGGATTCCTGGCCCAATTTCATTTCTTCCTTAACGGATTCCTGGCCCAATTTCATTTCCTCTTTAATTTCTTCTTTAAATGAGGCAAAGGCTGATATTAACTGCCTTAATTGCTCTTCCATCGCTCTTGTTATCGGCATTCAAACCCCACTTCTGACACCAAAAATTGTTGCGTGCGTACGGGTTCGTTATGAAATGAATTAACTACTCAAATGTCCAATAGAACGCAATTAAAAACAGCTAAAGAACGCTAATCTGCGAATTCGCTACAATCAACAAGAGCAGTTTTCTAAACAACAACAAACTAAGCAACTCCTACAAACTGAGATGTTTTCCTCCTTTTATAAGATTTTAAAATCACGCGCTAGAATTTTCCAGTACTTTCTCGAAATGAAAAAGAGATATTTATTTATTTAATGCACGCGCTCTTGTAATTTCAATTTTACGGCTTAGCTTTCTTTTAATATTCGTCACGCGCCTCACTGCGCGAGAAATAAAATCATTTAATTTGTAATTGAACTAACATTAGCTTTTTAAATACCAAATTCGTAATTAGTTTATTGCTAGTTCTCACTTTGAATTAATGCCATGTTATGCTAGCGAAAAGTTATGCTATTGCTATTGATAACACTTAGGATGCGGCTATCACCCAGAAGCCTGGTTTTAGTGACTTCTGCACCTAAGTCTTCAGGCATTAATACTTTTCAGATACAATTCAGTTTAGGGTTTACCTGCTTTTAAAAGTAATATACACAAGCTTGCCATTTCGAAAGTCCTTTGACTCAGTTATTCAACTTTTGTTAAATTTGCATAAATCTTCTGTCCTTCTCATCTGAAAAGCAGGCATGATTATGGATAATAAAAGTTTAGCTTCAGATTTTGTTTTTACCATTTCAGGAATATGACATGTATCTTTAGAGTTGCTTTTCATTTGCCAAGCAATTTAGTTATCACTATGCTATGGTTGTTCATTGAATATTAATTTGTGAGCATAGATGTACTTTTTTTTGCCCTTCGTGTATGTGTTTTCAGTAAGCAGTGTAATCCAGAATTTTGAGATTAAAGAGAAGAGAATTTATATCTTTTCTTTATTCTATTACTCCACCGTGTATGGGTTAGTTAAATTTTATGTATGTTATCGAAATCTACTGTAAAATGATAAAGTTTCTTATTTTTCTGCATTACCGGTCTTTTAAACTTTGTGAGAGCTGCAAGATATTTAAATTTCAAGGAAAATAGTAAAAATTATACAGTATCCTTAAAATTACAAACACACACATGCAAGTAAAAGTTCAGTAAAATATACTTTATATAGCTTGAATTATTACATTAATAATGTCTTTATAGCTTTGAAACTTTTATATCCTTATGATGAAATATTTATATAAATTTATATAAAATCATTCTTTATTGGTTTTATCAGTACTTACGTATTAACACCACCACAGCTGCAGATTTGGCGGTTTTTAAGTGCTGCCAATCTACGCCTAAAATTTTTGCAACAAATTATAAATTAAAACACTTTATTTAAAATCAAAACACTCAAAAAATCAAAGTAGTCAATCGGATTTCAGTGGAAAATGGGCTGATATAGAGTTTAACATAGATTCAAAACAGTCTCTATTTCTTTGACCTGATGCTGTCGCCATATGAACTCTGCTAAATAAGATTCTAAATGATGTCTCGCTGTCCCCCTATGTCTCTTGTTCCTCCATTTAACACTGCCCCACATTAACACTGCCCCTGTATCAGGATCAATAAAATTGTATTTTATGATTAACTTTAGCATGTAGGAATACTTCTTTTTCTATTCTATTTGTTTGGTAAATTTTACAACTGTCAGAATAAATTGTGCTACAATCTGGAATGTTTTCAATAATTTTATTAAGAAGGGTACAGCCATTTCTATTAGGAACAGTGACAACAAACCAATCTTTTGTTTCTCTACATATACCACCAAACACCCACTGGGTAATACTCGACCACAATTATTTTTACGCTTAGTAAACAAACTTTTATGAATTTCCACTATGCGATCTGGTCCACCTACCTTCTTGTTTGGTTTTTTCTTCATATCCAAGACACATAATTCACGCATGTAATTTTTCCAATCTATAACAGTTTTATTCGATAAATCAAGTTGCTTTTCACAAAATTTAATCGAAGCCAACTCCTCGCACCAGCAGTATACGAATCTTAAAGCTAAACAAAATAGAATTCTGCTTCCTTCAAACCAGTTGTTTTTTCTCCCTTTTGCTGATCACACTGTCATAAATTACATTTCCAAGATGTATGTTTACCAAAATAAAGTTTCATATCATGCGAATTGGTACATTTTGGTTTTTTTGCTAAAATATTTCACTCCTGAGAAAATAAAATTGCATCTTCTGTGTTTGGCAAATCCCAAAGACGCATTTTCATAGCACTAAAAAATGGTGTCAAAAATCAGCAAACAACAAGGCAAAAAGGAATCCAAAAGATAACTGCGTGCGAACAACAGGATTGCTCTTTATTGGCGCATCAGCGCAACTTCTACTGCAGTGGCATTAATACCTAAGTGCATTGGTGTTAATACGTAAGTGCGGTGGCGTTAATACGTAAGTACCATTTTATCTTACAGCTCTCATTTAATTTATTAGAATGCTATAAGTATAAGAAAAGTTTACACAGATAATGCATATGCATTGTTTTTCTATTAAAAAAATTCTTATTTTCAGTTTTTAAATTTTTATGGTCATGAATAAAGCCTGTTTCTGTTTACTTAGAAAGTCATTGATCCTGCTCTCATGCTAAAACTATTTTTCTTTATTTTATTTCTTTTTTATATGCAGGAATTTATGTATTAAATTTGTATGTAAATATATTAAAATAGTACAAATTCAGTATATAAATATTATAGTTTTCTCCTCAGACTGTGCAGATTTGAAAGAATATTTCCTGGTGTAAACATGATTCATGGATTAGTTTTATGTTTACTTTAAGTTACATAAACTTTCTTAGTTTAATAATAATCATAGAGTTTATCCTTAGAAATGCTTTCATTAAAAAATTCCAAAATTTCATCTGGTATGTAGTTTAAATTACTCATTTTACAACTCATTTTCTTCTATAACTGAAATCCTAAAATATTATATTAGGCTTAATTTTTTATGAAATTTCTAAAAGCTTTTCGAGAAATATATAGAGCAGCAGAAATATTCACATAACTCTACAGGTTATGCACAAATTTAGCCAGGATGAAATGAAAATGTAATTCAGAAGAAAGAAGAGCTTCCAAGATTGAATATGAGTGCTGGCAGTCTCATAATTTTAGTTTTTCTCATTTTGAAGCACTATCTGCTAATTAAATGATATAAAAATAAATAGGTAAATTTCACCTGACCCATGAAATAGGCAGTTAATTTCTCAATTAAGTATCATAATTACTCTTTTGGATGCCATGTGTATTTTAGTTGCTTCAATTTTGTTTGAAATTTTCATTTGATATATTACAAGAATGAAATAGAATTTAGATTTGCATTGATGTATGTCAGCTACTTATGCCTCTTTAGCATGTGACATGAAACATCTCTTTTGGTGTATCCACATCAAATCACTGATTTACATTTTGAGGATGATAATATTTTCCCACTTACTAATTTACTTTAGAAAGCAAATGTTTTTAATATCCATAGCCAATTTTTAGTTTTCTTCTTTCCACTGCCTAGATGTTTTAATGATTTCAGAACAATAATGTGTAGTGCAATTTGTTATCCCATAACCACCCTCTCACATTTTTTAGAAATCTGTTCATTAATCAGCTGAAATTAATCTAAAGCATTTGTGTTTGTGAAACAGTATTTCAATTTAAATATTTGTTAAGTTTATGTCTCAAATCAGCTCACTCATCTTTTATTGTTTTTAATTCAACTCTTTTCTCGTACATTTATTTTGGAATATTTTATGTCAGATTTATTGTAGTTTTAAATTTACTTTTTTGCATTTTGTGTAAAAATATATTTGCAATATATCTTAAATTATAGAAACCATTAGACTGCTGCTTTTCATGTTTTTCCCCTAACAACATCAACAACTTATTTATGAAAGGGATTATATCTTCAAACATTTATTTTAAAAAGCATAAATTGTATACAGTAATGAAGAAAAATTTATGTGTAAAAATTTTTATTTATTGTTTGTATGTTTATTTTTATTTACTTAAATTTAGCAACATGGTTCGGTCTATTGGAAACGTGGAGCTGAAGAAATTCTTGATGATATAGCTGGAAATAATTTTTTGTATGATCAATTACAGGTACTAAAGATATCTTATAGTGTTATGTATTTGTTATTCATTAGCTTAATACTGTTTAAAAGAGTGTTTAACATTAAATTTATGTTTAATGCTAAATGTCATTAAGTGCCAAATATTTATAAGTTTTATTTCATGATTTGTAATGTATTTTAGTAAAAGTAACATTGCCTTTTAGAACTAGGCCTATAAATCTTTGCCACCTTTGTGTATTCTATAAGATGTTAAGCATTTTTTAAAAATAATACTAAATAACAAATATGCATCTTTTCTGTAAAAAGTTCTTAAAATTCTAAAAAATAAAACACAAAAGGTTTCTTTGTTTAATTTTAAAAAACAGTTTTCCTTTGTTTAAAAAAATTTTCTTTAAAAAATTTTTTTTTTACTTTTTGTTTTTTAGATTTTAAACCATGTTTTCAAATTTGTAGGATTTCATTTAAATTAAAAAAATAAACAAAAAATAAAATAAAACTCAGTTCATTATGTCAAAAATTTATCCAGGTGTTTTAGGTCTGAAACTATGTTCAGGTGTTGTACTGAAATGAGAGATAGAAATGTTTATCTTGTATATGAATAAAAGTGAAATAACTGAAATAACTGTTTAGAAAACAGTTTCTGCTGTCAATAAATTAAGTGATGAGCACTGATTGGTGATCATGAAAACTTTGGATCAATGCACATTTTTCCACAAAGGAGATGTTATTAAAAAATCTTACATTATTTATGTTCTAAAAAACAGTGGCAGGCTTCAGTATTGTCGCATAGCTAAGTCATAGCATTAATTGCAAATTAAAAGTGAAGAGTATTTTTAACCCATTAGCCGCTGGTGTTGCGTTGACGCAACGGTCAAAATAAATGCGTATATAAATATACGTATGTAAAATACCTAAGATATTTTATATTTTATATCAACAGGTGATTTTGGGTGGGGAATATTATGAAGATTATTTCTGTAAAAAATATTTGCCTTCAAAAATCATTTAGTTTATAATAATTAATCTCATACTTTAAGCAAAAATTTCGACCGGATATTTCTGCTGAAAATATTTAATGAAAAAAATCATCGTCTTTGTACATGATCTATTTTTAGTCAAGGTCACCGTTTATCAGAACATTACATCAATCAGATGTTTATATTTGTGTTGGGAAAGAAGGAAAAAACAGGTGTTGCGCTGATACGACGTCAGCAGGAAACGGGTAATCTCCCTTTGTAGTCATCCTTTTTGCTGTTCTGGTTCATGTTCTGACTGCTTTAAAAATGCCTACAAAGAGGTATCTTACATTAGAAGAAGCCCTTCAAGGATCTCTTGATGAAGAAACAGATGATGATGATGTTAATAATGACCAGAATGAAACTAATATTATTGTTGTTGTTCCCCCAGAAATTGAAGAAGCTAGTGATGAAGAAGAAGGGAATGACCAATGTTTTAAATAATGATAATGTTATTTTACCAAATGATACTACTGGGGAAGTTGAAATTCATGTAATAAGTAAGTTTGAGCCGCCTAAAAGCAGTGGTAGTCATACGAAAAAGTTTAAAAAGCAGAAAATGAAAACTTGAAATGGATAAAAAAAGAACCATCAGTTATGTCTCAGGAAGAAAATGAAGAAAGGGATTGAAGAAAAACTATAAAAGACAAAATACAAGGTAAAACTAGTGGAGAGATTTTCAGTTTTCTTTTTGGTTCATTCATTTACTCTCTTTTCGTTGAACAGACAAATATATATGCTGAGGAGAGAGGGAAAAAAAACCCAGAATTTATTGCATCTAAAGCCTGAGAAGATTTATTGGAATATTATTGCTTACAGGATATCATTCTTTATCTCAAAAAGAAATTTATTGGTCTCTTGATAAGGACATTTCTGTTCCTGTTGTACAAGAATCGATGTCACGTTTGCAGTACAGGAATATGAAGCAGAATTTGCATTTAGCTGACAATAGTCAAATTGACAATATTGATAAATTATATAAGGTGAGATAGTATCTAAACTTACTAAAAGAAATTCCTATAATTTGATATAGTTTCGCACGGTCTGAGTATTGAGGAGTAAGTGATTCCTTATCGAGGCAAACAGGAGTCGATTTATGTGATAATTTAGTAGCTAATTACAGAATAAGAGTTCGTGGCAAAAAAATGGTGGTGGCGAATATTTACTAATTACATTGATGTAGCCTTGATAAATGCATATGAAAATATCACGACTTTCTACTACTGGAAATAAAATGCCTCTTTTAGATTTTTGATGAGAGATTGCATTATTCCTTTTGCATTCATCCTATTGATAGTGCAGAAATAGATCAGCAACAGGAAGACGTAGTAAATTCATCATTCAAGAACCATTGCATGGAGATGGTAGAATTTTATCATAAAGTCCCATGATAACAAAAGTCTTTGTCTGCCATAGCCAGACTGTTTATAGATGCAAAGTGTGTAATGTAGCTTTACATCAGGATTGTAGTGAAGCTTTTCATGCTTGAATCTTTCATTTGAAATAATCTGTATTTGTAAAAGAATTATAATGCAATTTTAATATTAAATTAATTACAAGTAAAAGGATTTGTAGATTTATAAAATATACAGCTAAAAAGTAATCCAGTGCTCCACTCAAAGGAAATATCGCACGAGTACAATACTACTCACTGAACATCCGTAGTCTTATTTACGCTGGCATTGTGTGAATGCAAAATTCGCTTTTCCCCAGGTAAGAGCATTTTTTTAATTTTCAATGTAAATTTATGTTATAAATGCCTAATTTAATGTTTGTTATAATTTTCATGAGAAAAGAATCATTCCGTGTAGTTTTGGTGGTTAATGGGTTAAACATATAATTTTTATAACTATCTCATGATCTGAAAGTAATAAAACTGCATGTGAATATTACTAATGCATTTTTAGCATTTAAAAGCAGAAACTACCTGTGTGAAAATGCTTTTGTCATACTAAATGTAACAAAATGATAAAGAATATTATACTGTGATAAATCACAAAATAATATCACTGAATGATATTTTTATCTGAATATTGAAAGAATGCCAAAAAAAATGACAAAAATCTCAGGTATATATATTATGTATAAGAATTTGCATTTTTTATTTAAATATCTGTTTTATTTATGATTATGTTATTTAAAGTTTTAAGTCATATAATTTTTTGCTCCTAGGGATGTTTTAGTGTGAGGGATTCTCCTGTCTGGATGGATGAAAGTACTTCCCTTGAATGTGCCCTTCTAGAAAGAGCTACTTCGGGGCCTTTACCTCTTGCTAGAGTGACAGGATCTCGTGCATTTGAGAGATTTACGGGAAATCAAATTGCAAAGTTATTCAGAATGAAACCTGATGCTTATAATAATACCGAGGTATGTACATTTATTGCACTATAGTGCTACCACTTAACCATTACGAATTTTGCCCTGAAATTTCGAAGTTCCTTAAAATGTCATGAATAAGGGGTATTTTCTTGATTTTAATTAAAAAATGAATCTCATTTTGTACCCTGATTCCTTTTCTTCCAATATACATCCAAACCGAAATCAAATACATTAAAAGCTAGCAAAAATTTTCATTTGTAATAAATATAGAAGGCAACCTTCTATATGGAATTTTCCGGCCATAACGCTGAGAGGGTTAAATTGCCTATTCTGCACTGCTAAATTTTCATTCTGTTGAATTACACTTTGTGATGAAAATGAATGTTTACCGTTCGTTTATCATTAATTAAAGAGCATGAAGTAGTAATTGTTTTAGATCAAAGTTAAATTGTGGGTTGTGACCCCAGTTGGGATCACAGGACCTGCAGTAGGGGGTTGCTAAAAATTTTAGCAATATTTATATTTCTTTAACTTACTATAATAATTTTCCTATTACCAAATATTTTTACAGGATGTATCTGAAAATAGATAAGACAATACAGACAAAGAAAAAACAAAAACATTTCAACTCGTTTTTTTTTTTTATAATGGAAACTTCCATTTTACTTTCAAAATTAATGACGTAAAACTGCGATAACATATTACATTATAAGTGAAGAAACTGATAGTTTCGCTTTGGATTTGCGCAATGATTATGGGGTCCCTGCTACAAAAAGTGTAAAAAACCATGTTTTAGATCAATAGTTCAGTTATTTGGTTCCTTTAGAAGTCTTTTCAATATAAAATATTAATGAAATTTTATTATTTGATTCTTCATATTTATCCCCTTGTAAATTTTCTACTACATTTATAGTTTCACATGTATGTTAATTACTTTTTATCATATTTTTCTTGTATTTGTTGAATATGCAAGGAAATTTGTAGTGGCAGAAGTTATTTAACTGTTCTAAATGTGTGTATTTTGTGATATTTGATTTTATTTATTATTCTTATTTAAATGTTACTTATATTTACCAAAAGAATGTACTTTTTTTTTGGTTAATGTTATGTTTCTGTAGGGAAAAAAATGATTGGCAACAATATATGTATAGATATGACTTTAGTTACAGTTAAAAATTGTGGCATTGTTTTCAGTGGCGAGGTTTTAGCATACCATCAGCGTATTATTTATAAGTTATTAATAAGTGAATAATAAAGATTACACGAGATCAATGAATAATGTTTATTCTACTCTAATATTAGCCTATTATTCTATAATACACTTATTACATACCTTGTATTACAGTTACATATGTGACATCTCCCTTTTTAACAGAACTAAAAAAAATATAGGTACTCTTTTAAATAATAAGTTTTTTTACAGTCATACTAGGTCGAGTAACATAATTATGTCCATTTACAGAATTTGGTGACACTACACCTCTTTCAGAATTTGGTGACACTGCACTTATCTTACATGCAGGAGAATTTACAGGCTAAATTTCAAGTACTCCTGCTAATTTCGGATTCATTCTCATTTTTAATTGTCTTACATTGCTATCATAATATTTTTTTTTTTTTTTTTGATGTTCAATAAATGGTGCTTCTTTTCTTCACATTGTTTGCTTTGGATAAAATTCTCTTAAGGCCCATATCACACGGCGTTTGTTTCACACGAACAACTGTTTTGGACAATTTTCTGCCTGGTTTACTATTGAAAGAAAAGACGTGCGACTTTTTCCTTCCTTTCGAAAAAAAGTTGCAAACTGTTCGTTTTCAACCAATCAGCTATCAGCGCCAAATGCTGTTAGCTTGTTTGTAATGGAGAACCAGTTTCCCCTGTGTTAACCCCAAAGTGAGCTGTGGTGATTGGCTGTTGTGACAAAGCAGAAAAATTGTTCCAAACAGTTGTTCTTTCGAAACAAACTGGCATGTGATAGCAGCCTTACAGGCATCAATTCATTCACTTTTCTTCGAAATATTAATTCCAATGGGAGCTTAAGTTCACCTGAAATGCAAGTGTTATGATATTCCAGTAACACTAAATATGGATCCTTGTTGTCAACTACAGCTTTTTCTAGCATTTGCTTGACCATGTGATTATGCCTTTTAACCATTCCACTTGATTTTGGGTAATTTACTTGACGCTCTAGTTAAAAATTCCATCTCCATGCAAATTCTTTAAATTTCTTGCAGTTATATTACTGACCATTACCTGACTATACTATGCAAAAATGATTTCAAATGTTTTATCAATCCTATGCTTGATAAATCTTATAAATGTCCAGTTGTGACATTTTTTCTAAAATAGTCTGTAACTATTAGATTATATCTGTTTGGAAAATAGAAGAGATCCATTCCCATGGACCATTAGATATTTCTTTAGCCCATTTGCGACATTAGGTTGCTGAACTCTGCAGAAGGGTGTGTCATGCATGCATCAGTCCCAAATGTCGCTAGCACCCGGTTGATGCACTTGGTACATTGCCACTTGCATTGATCTTCAAGACGGGTATTGCACATATGCATTCGCAAACATACACATTTTTTTAGAATTTTTTTTTAATCAAGACATGGCACTCCGTGTCCACTACAGTTAGCTTATTTGAACATATACATTGCTGACCTTGTGTTCATGAAGTACATTCTGATTAATTAGATGTACGAGCAGATGATATAAACAAAACCCAGCTAACACAGTTGGTTTCACGTGATATAAACATTGAACAGTTTCTGATACCTCAAATTTGCTTTTTTGTTTTTTCCCCATGGGAAGATGGAATGGAGCTGTGGTTTTAGGAACTCCGGTTTGTATATAGTTTGCATCGTCTTTAGACAGCAGACATAAGTTGTTTGCTCCAGGTAATAGAGTTAAACTAATAGTGTGATGTCTCAGAGAAAGAATTTTTTAACGAAAGAAGAGTATATTCGACTTGTAAAGCCCATGAGTGTTAATTTGAGCCCATGAGTGACTATTTTGACACCGAAAACTCTAGATTTAAGTGAGAATAGTGATTTTAAAAGCCAAAATTTTCTCAGAGCCTGAATTGGAAGTTAGTTTTGCTTTCACCTCACAATCTAGCAGAACAGTGGCAACTCCATCATGAACTTGATCTGTTAAGTAATTGAAGCCTAATGAATTTATGGGAATTGCAGAAATAAACTTAATTCAAAATTATGAAAATGAAACTGATTTTTTCATAATTTTTTTTTGATAATCTAATGAATATAATAGTTGAAGAAACTAATAATTTCTATGAACAAAAGATGAGTGAAAATCCATCTTCATCCAAAATCAACGTACTCCTCTAGATGTGCCTAAAATGAGGGGATTCCTGGGATTAATTATTCTGTTGGGATGGAATAATTAAAAAGTTCGATCTGGAAACGTGTTTCATAATTATGAAATGATAGCGACTCCTTTCTGAATCATATATACTAGAATATTTGATCATATATTTTATTATTTTTTATGTATCTTTAGATAGAGATTTAAGTAAGTTTTTAATAATATTTCATCAAGGAGAGTCAAATATGTTATTTTCCATTTAGATTTTAATTAAATGTTTTTCAGAATCTCTTGATATTCTGTATTTATGATGATATTCGTGTTAGATACCATTATAGAAAAAATCAAAACAATTGATAACAAATATTTTTAATTCATTTATTTTAAAATTTAGGCTTAGTAACATGAAATAGGCCATCTTGTGAGATCATACTACTTCAACAACACACCGTTTCCAAGGTGAGTTGTGTTAAGCAGCATGCCATCTCGTAAGAGGATTAACTGCTGATGCATATATGATACACTCATCCTAAAGGGGTTAGATATCATTGGTTCTTTTTGGAAGCTCAAATATGTTGGATATTTCAGAATGAAATCTTCAATTTCTTCTGACATTCTTGGCCAATGTAATGTTTCGCTTACTTTGTTTTTTGCATTTTCCCTCTTCTAAATTACTATAATTGTACACTGTGCCAAAAAAGGGGGGGGGCTGTTCTATATCTTCGGTTCTACTGAGCCGATTATTGACGAAATTCAGCTTACGTTTTTCATGTCTCGAAAGTGTGACTTAAGATATATATTAGATTTATATGTAGCGTTGTTCTAATATAGGTATTTTCACACAAAAATCAGCCTTTTTCTGAAATGACATGCCAATTTTTTCCATATTTCGATTCTACGACTCAAATTATGTCAAACTGCCAAGTTTTGTAAAAATTTGCTCTCAAAACTTTAGCTCCTCAATGTCAATTGAATTTGATAAATATTTATTAATATCTCTTTTTTATTAAACCTTTTGATTCCTTCTTCCAGATTTCGATATTTAGGCTTAATCCAAATGTAATTCACACGTTTTTTATGATTATATAATGTTTATGAATTTTTTGAAAAATTTTTGTATTTATAACCTATAAAATTTTTAACATTGTCTTAAAGTAGATGTATCTCTAGGCACACCTGGAAAAAGTTTTTTTATTCAAAATTTTCTAAGATATACATGAATTTACATATTGGCACATTATGAAATTTCGCATATTTGTTATAAGAGATAATAACGGCAAATGTGGTTTACACACTTAAAATTATTTGAAAGTAGGAATGATGACTTCCCTCTCATCTACAATGAAAATAAGTTGCTATAAATGTAAGAAGTTCGGCAAGTATTCTTGGTGAAAACTGAAAAAAATACGCCAAGATAAATTTTTGAATTTCTCCATAAATTTTGCAGCAAATTTTACAAAATTTATTAGTTAGGCATAATTTGAGTCATAAAATCGAAAGATGGAAAAAATTTGGCATGTTATTTCAGAAAAAGTCCGATTTTGTGTCAAAATATGTAGGTTAGAATGATGCTATATATACATCTAATATATATCCTAAGTCACACTTTCAAGACGTGAAAAACGTAAGTTGAATTTATCTTAAAAACTGATATCAACAGTGTTTTGGTTGCTTTCAACTGTGTAAAATTTACCAGATTTGTATTTGTGAATTTGCTTAC